TGTAGTTTTCAAAATTGTTCACAAATAAAACTGTAGTGCTGCGTGCATGGTTTGTCGACCTTATTTCAGTCTGATTTCTAAATGACATAAAATCCAACCAGAATGTTTTCAGAATGCTTCTAATAGGAACTTGGAGGCAAATTGTTTGAAATTTAAACGCCACAAAACTCCATCTGTCTTGTGAAGCCCTCAGAGGTCATCATGAAGGCCCAGAAACACAGCAGGATACGTAAGAGACACAGGAAAAAAGATCCTTTCTACAGTCCAATCAAACAGATATCTAATCCTCATCATTAAAGAAAAAGAATTCCACTGTTCTCTGCAAGTTTATTTACTGTATAGCATAACTTTCCAATGACCCTATTGTGTTTATTCCCCTCTGCATAAGAGTAATTTTAAAGAAATATGGTCAACCATGGAAAATTAATATATGCCTGAGCAGTGAACTGGTCATGAGAATTTCTTTCTCAGCTCCCGGCTCTGCCTCTGACACTAAATCAGATTTTAAAAATGGTCATAATTCTCAGCACAAATCTTCCGTTTTTACAAAGTAGTCTGATCAGTTCAGGGCAGCTGTAATGAGCTGAATCATTCAGCATCTCAGGGAACTTTTCATAAAAAGCAGTTCCACACTGTAGTCTTGATTATGTTAATTCTGAACATATTCACTGAATGAGTAATCCTTTCTGTCCTGTCTGGACTTTTGGGCTTATAGCTGGTTCTTGGTGCTCTAGCTTTCTTTGGACTGAAGGGCTATGAGACAAAGTTGACCAGTTATATGGTGCTGTATTATACAGATATTTAAAGCTCGAAAGAAATGCACACAAAAACAGAAGGAAAACAGCCCTGGTGGCCCAAGCATCAAGCCAGCCCACTGGGAAATGTCCTGTTCCTCCCGATTTGCCAATCCGGGCCTGTTTGTTAGTAAGAGATATCGTGGGACAGCGAAGGGAGCTCATCCTTTAGAGAGAAGAAGAGAAATCCTTTAAAAGTCCCTTTCATTTTAGTTTATTGCTCCTATGCAAACATTCACGTTATTACGCATCTCTGCGTAATAACGCAGAGATGCGTTATTACGCATCGTTATTCATGCATGCGCAATTGCATGCATGAATTTTCCGTATTATAAAACTCAGATTTGTGGGAATTGCAATTAATAACCGCAATGTTCTCTAACTTTTCCAGAGATTTTCTTTTTAACTTTCAACACTGGCAAGACAAAAGAGTTGTTTCTGAGCCTTTTTCAAAGTAGACTAAATACCCTCTAAAACCTTCAAACATTTGGCTTTTGTCCTCCGACAATCTGCTTTCATTACCAAGTCAAATGTCTCTGCATTGATTGGAGCTGTTTATCAGCTTCTGCCTGCATTGATGGAAAGATGACACTTGGCTGAACACTTCCCACCCTTTTTTATGATGAAATGGTTTGATGAGAAGGCTTGATGCTTCATTTAGGGACTTATGTAACTCAGTCATATAAGATGCAAATCCCAAATCTTTCTGCTAAAGCAACATTTGAACACTGTGACTGGACTGAATGTAAGGTGGCCTACCATGGTATTGTCAATGACAATACCATGACAAAGTGATACTTTTCTAAACGGTACCAAGAATAAAAGAGGGTGATCTTGGGCATAAGATTGTTGTTACCCTTTCTGCTGTATCCAAACAAGCTGGGGTCCATAATTTTAGAGTGAGAGAGTATATTTACTGGTGGAACCCATTCAAGGTCAGACTTTGTAGGAGTGGTCCCATCTTTCTAGATTTGAGCATGCTGTGCCCAGAGAAATTACAGAAATCCCTAAAGCTTAAATTTAGACTCCATAGGACTCTGCATGTTTAACTTCTCGTAACAGCGCAGCTATATAAAGACTGAATTAATCTGACTTCAGTATATCAATTCAGAACAACTAAATTAAACTTCTGTTATATATATAGGTCAATTTAGTCCAGTTCAAAAAAGGTTTGGTAGAATATCATAATGTTTCAGTTCACACCAACACATTTGATTACTGATAATATTAATAGGATTGAGAAACATAAATTAACAACAAGCTCTATAATGAACACAATGAATGGTGATAAATATTTCAACTTCATTCCATATCTAGCCCTCGGGATGGAAGTGTTGGCATAGAGAAGGAAAACTATCTTGTAATAAAAAAACAAAACGAAAAAAAAACACTTCTGGCAGAACCAGACTCCGAAATGGTGCTGCCGTCTGACTTGGCCACCTGGGTATTGAAGTACAGTTATGGGCCAACAACAAACACAAACGTACTTGCTGAAAAACAGAAAACTGATCTGCAGCATCTATTTGATGATATTGCCTTAAAAATCCTTTTTTCTCTCAAACTTTTTCTTATGGGAAAATGCCCTTTAGACCAGATGAAACCAAAGTGTTTGGCCAAAATATGAATAAATGTGATGAAAACCAAACAAAGCAATATGCACACTAAAACCTTGTCGCTGAATCAGTTCTGAGTTCCTCTATAAGCTGTAGTGATAAGTAGGACCAAATGTCTGACAAACAAATGATCTCAAGCAGTTGATTTGTGAACAGTAGAAGTTAAAATGAACTCCACCAGAGCTGCCTTCTTCTGTTATGTTGTTGTATTAATGAAAATCATGTCAAACAAAAACCAAACCAACAAGAACAGAAACAATATGGTGAATTATATGCAACACGTTTCTGGAAAAAGACACGGTGGGCCTCCTGCTACATTATTCTTCATAGAACAGAACAGGCTTAGATTTTGTTGTCAATGTTGGGTTAGAACTGATAAATGATCTTGGTGAGAGCAAGATGGGGGCTATTTATCTTTTGAAAATATAGTCAAATTGCTTTAGATGGATGAGTTTAATTCCATTATCTTCACAACTTTTATGCCATATTGGGTATAAATAAACAATCTTCTTTGCAGGAGAAGTTGCTGTTGATGTAAAAAAATCGGCAGATAAAAAATCCATATCACAGTGTTAGGAGAACTTTACCCTGCATGTTGTACTCTTTCTTTGAAGTTCTTGTATTTGGAAAAATACTAGCCTTACTAGATGGTGTCTGTAAAAAGAAAAAAAATAGAAATAAAAAAAGCCCTTTTACAGTCTGTGTGATTTTACATGCGGGTTTTATGGACCTTTTCGCATCTGAAGTTACACAGGGCTTGGAGAATCTCTTTATTTCAGGGTAGCTCAGATTAACTTATTTTCTGACAATGACATCATGGTATTGATGGTGATTTAGAAAAATAACATGAGTTGTTCCCCACAACCAGTGGATCGGAGAGAATTTATAGGTCTCCTTATGGTATTCAGGCCTTTGTGCTGTGTAAAACAGGGTGGCTCTGGCACAGGAAGGCTATTATTTCCAATTTGAACACATCAGAGCCTGTATACAATTGCATCTACCTCACACAGACAACAAAAAGGCTCCCAAAAGGTATTAGCATCTCTGAGCTTGTACAGAAATAGCAGGTCAATGCAACTCATCCACGTCCTGAAAGGAAAATTTGTTGATTTCAGTTCCTTTAGGATATCAACAATCGTATTGATTTGTCCCAAATATCAAAGCTCAAAAAGTCCAACAGCTGTAATAAAATTAGCTGATTCATCTTTCTAAGATAAGGATATTCTTCATCAAGTACTAAGGTACATGACTAAAATGGAGATGAATCAATCCAGTGAGGTTGCTCTTTTCTTTTTTGTTTTGTTTTTGTGCATGTCTCAAATTAAATTCCTTACAGTTTTGTCACAACAGCTTTCAGTTTATTCTAATGCATGTCTAATGTGAATCTGCAGTGTCTTTGGGATATTAGGAATTACCTTCCAAATGCTACACTGGTGTTATGTTTTTATTTTGAATGTCCCTGAACTGCTCGAATGACGGCAACAGTGGATGCTTCTAGCCAAGTAAAGTACCCTGGGACAGTGCACCATCTGTCCTTGTTTATAGGTCATTTCCCTGATGTGATTTTCAACATGCTGTTTATTGGTCATTATTATTATTTTACATGTCGTCTTCATCATGCTTCTTTCATCAGTGTGCTCAATCCCACTCAGACTTAAAGAAAACAAGCATTTTCTATGCGTGTCTGTATTCTTTTCCTTTATTCTTATTTGCTAGATCATAATTTGTTTCCTTTACTGCAAGGATGCAATATACCCTGCTCACATATAAAATCATGGGATTGTGTATCAGTGCCCTTGGCTAACTCAGTCCACCCTTCTGTGATGGCAGAAATAATGTAGATAAGAACATTAATATTTTAACACAACATATGTGGCCTTCCAGACCAAACCTTTTCCATCCTATTATACTCTGTAACTATCACAAACACATGGCTAAAGATGTATGATAGACAGCTAAAGGTGTTAATGAGCTGGCTCCAGTGCCAAATCTGTGAGTTTTAAAAAGACGAGAACCTGTGCGGTAATTAGAATATTCTTGCTGGAAAACTAGGTCATAAATATGCTTGAAATGCTTTAATGTTGGGTATTCTCACTCCAAGAGTGTTTTTTAAAGTGTTGTGGACAGGAATGGCAAAATAGTAAAAGGACCTGAGAGATGAGCTCTTTTGTATGATGGCACATTTGGGCCTTTGTACAAATAAAAAAAAAAAAACATGAACTGCGCAAGGTGAAAAATAAACTGCAAGGTGAAAAATAAACTGCAAAACAGAAACTTCTCAAATTATGAGATGGAAAGCATGTATATGTACTTTGAATTCTTGGAAAGTCTTGGAGAACTTGACATTTTTTGTCCCGAATGAATTTACAATCTCAGAAAAGTGTGTTTTTACTAACTTCTTACTTTACAATGTCGAATATTTTAGCTTCAATATTGTAAATTTATTGCCTTTAATTTTGAAAAACTTTAATATTTATTGCAAACGTATGGCTTTTGTCTTTAAGATATGGGAAATTAATCTCAAAGCATTCTGAACGACTAAACACTGTAAGTTAGATGATCTCTTTTGGTGTCCCATGTGTTTATTTCTCAGGTTTTGTACCTGCATACGTCCTTGCTGCTGCCCAGCACTCTGGTCGTTGTGGAGCTAGTGTCGCTATCAACCAAACCAGACGGCTCCTATCTGTCTCTGGGGAGAGGCTTCAGCATTCTGGAGCTTTTTACCAACAGACCAGAGGGTCCAGGTACTAATGGAGACAGAAGGTGATTATTGAACTCTTAATTACCACATACATGGATTAATGAGCCTTCTCATTAGGACATAAAGGACAGGTGTATTTATAATGCAGGAGGTTGATGCTTTCTATCCAGCTAGGTTGTTTGGTCCTGTAATGTACATGTTTTTAGTTATTGTAAAAAATAGTTCTAATATTTGAGTTTTTCACAGCATGCGCAACAGAAATGCTATTATCCCTATAGGGTTTAAAGCCACCTCAGTCTGCTCTGGTGTTGGACAGTTTAATTAAATGTAGCTGGCATGATAACAGACACATTTAATAATGAGAAGGTTATAGGCTCACAATATTAAAACATGACGTTAAACTGAAGCCTGTCTCCAAAAATGCCATGTTACCGCCAACAGGATGGGACTTCATATGGTAAGATGAAGCTATTATTATGAGGTATGAATATAAAAGAATGCTTTAAGCTTAGGTGCCCTGTTTTGGCTGACAACATGGATTTTAAAAATATATGTAAGGTGTAAATAATTTATATGACTGCGTCTTTATCTGGTAGAAAACAATGGAAAAAAGTCACCTGTTACGAGCAACTTCAAGCTCTACAAAGAAATATGATTATTAATGGCTGCAAAGATTGCTGCTATATAATTCTCTGTTCAGTGTCTGGTTAGTGACAGATGCTGCAAGGCATCGCTGCAAGACATTTTGTGGTTTTGAACTTCTTCCATTTGGATATCTGTGACTGAAGTCCAGTATTAATCTGTTCCGGCCAATTCACCCACATCAATTAATGAGAGGAACTGCAGCGATCCCAACGTGGGTTCCCCTTTAGGTTTTTAATTGGTGCTGAACTAAAGGCATATGTTTTAAGGAATCTAGGCTTCTTTTGACAAGTTTTAGCTCACAATCGAAAATCCTTAGACTAAAGCTTGAAGTAGATGGCTCTGCTTTAAGCTGTTTCTCTAAAACACAGTTTGACATTTATGAAAGCTTTACTCTATTTATGAAAAGAGAAAAATATATTTCTTTTCTGTTCTTCTTTGCCATTGGGACCAATTCAGATTGTGGAAAGTAGAAAACTGTAATACTTTTACCAAAGGTATTCCATCACTCATTCATATAATTTAATTTAGGTATTTTTATACCTTCCATAGCAACTGGTGAATAAAATCAAGCACCTAGGCTTGCAGACTGCTTCTACAAATCACTGAAAGAATGGGTTATACTCTCAGGAGCTCAGTGAAATCTAGCTTGGTACTTTGATAGGATGTCACCTGTGAAATTGGTCCAGTCATGAAATTTCCTCACTACAAAATATTCCACAGTCGGCTGTTATAACAAAATGGAAGCGATTAGGAACAAGAAAGACTTGGCCATGAAGTGGTAGGCCATAAAGAATCACATCACAGAGAGGGTCAGACAAGACATGGCAACTCTTAGTTTTCCTAAAAACAAACAAACAAAAAAAAAAAACACTGTTCTTGTTCTTGTAAACCTGATATTTTGTATTGTTGGTGATGGTAACAGCTGTTAATAGTATGAAAATTTGTGACCACAAAAATGATCAGTATCATGTTGGAGAAGCAAAATTCACTCTGATTTACTTTTCTCCTAATAGTTTTGAAAGGAAGCAATTTTACAACTTTTTACATGGTTTTCATTGTCTTGCTGTCTTACTGTGTTTGCCATGTTGGCTTTTGTTTACAATAGTATTTGATAGGTTTCTGCTTTTTTTAGTCCTTCCTGTCCTTCTGCTGCCTCTTCAGTCAGCCTTTCATTAGATGAACTGACCCCAAATCCCCCCTGTCAGACAGCAGTTGGTGAAATCAGCTATTTTACCACAAACTGCACTGCAACCTAAATTACCTTTGCATTGCAGCATCTAAAACTGATTTCTACCTTCGTAGGTTTTGAGGAACATCTCAATAACTGTAGTCCAGTTGGATTCTAAGAAGGATGTCTTTTTAGCAAGGCATCTTAATTATGCAGAGTACTACCTCAACAGTAACCGTTTCTGGCTGAAAGCAGGCAGACTAAGACATGAGAAGCACAACCTATCTGATTACTGGTGAATGAAATACTTTGATTCCCAGCTTTTCTAATGATGCAATCAGTGCAATGCCCTTAAAAATGGGTCAAGTGCTAAATTAAGATTGTCAGATCTACTATAGCTTGCAGGCCTGCTTTTAAGATCTGTTCCACTTTATTCCACAGGCTGAATCTACACCATGGAACACCAAGAGGCCTCCTCCACCCCTCACTGAAGGACTCAGTTGACTGTAAGAATAATTTGTCCACCATTTTTCTAGAGTAATACATGCAGGATTTAGGGGCCTCTATTTCCAAGGTGGTAAGGCTTCCTTTGTTTACTGAGGTACTTACATCCACATGATCTTTAGCCATGTGATATGATTCAAAGTCAAGATGGCAAATGTTTAGGACAGTAAATAAATGACTGCTTTACTTTCAGGTGACTTTTAAAATGCTTGTACCTCTTGATCCACCATTTTTAGCTACACTATGCTTAGAGAAGAGAAACTGCTCATCGCCTGCCTCTTCCAAAATTGGAAAGTTATTGTCAGACCTTCGGATGAGAGGTGTTTTTTGTCCTTGGATATCTGATTCAGCTTAGTTTAAAATTTGATAATTTTTTTTAAAACTACTTAGCTACTGCTGAGGCTCATGGTTGGTTTTGATATGTCTATAGCTGGCTTAAAACCAGGGCTATGAATTACAAAACACTGCTGTGCCTTACCGTGTGAATAACATTGTGCCCGGCGAGAGCCAGAGTTCCTGTCTTGGCTATCATGTCACATGAATATTAGAAAGCTTGCTCTCAAACGGACTCTTATGCTCCCTGAATTATTCAATGTCAACCTGTTGTTTAGTGGGATTCTGCTTCTCTTTTTTACGAGTCATGTTGCAGGCATTCTTGTTTACCTTTATATGGTTTAAACCCCTTTATATCACTTTAACTTTCATCCACTGTAGCATGGGTACATGCTTTTTATCTTTTCACTGTGAAATACTTGGTTGTGTGTCTTATGTCTAAAGCACCGTCGTTATGGTGGTAATTTCCTTCCCGATTGTGTGAAAGAATTCTGAAGGGAAAAAAATCCCTGAGGGTCAGACTTTTTATTTACTTAATTTGTAATAAGTTCAACATTATGCAGTTTGGCCTTAGAGAAGGAAAAGGACATTGTTGATGTGCTGCAGATACAATTGAGGTTAAAAGTTGAATTTAATAAGAGTGACACAATTATAAACATAAATTGTTATACATCTCCTACCGTAGTTCAGTTTCAAGCGTTCAACATAATCATTATACTGCTGGAATCTGTCACATTGTCTGTATGAAAACCTATTGGTCAATACATTATTTTTTACAGTGAATATTGTAGTTCTACAGCATTCTTCATTCACTTGCATTCAGAATAAAGCTCATGACGTTTAATGAGGCCTACTCTCTGACTTCATTTTAAATATTTGAAGTTATCGACAGACAAAAACAAATCTCTTTCTAAAGCCCCATCAGCACTAGTTCATAAACATTTTACAGAATGGAAAGGCAGAGTTAACATTATATAGTTTATAGTTGCATGGAACATACAAATACACACCTTTCTGAGAGGAGACTAACAAAAATTAAAATAATCCCCGCTTTGATATGTAACAGTTGGTTTATGCTGTTTCTTTGTTCCTGACAGGTGTTCATAGACTTTCCTCAGTTTATTACATTTCTCCAGCTTTCACGTGGGTTTCAACAATGAGTTGCACACTGATTAATCAACTTTAAGCCCACTCTTAATATTTATAATTCCTGGCACAGGATTGGATTTTATCATGACTTAATGGTAAACCGCAGTCTATTCACATAAGGTGAAGTGATTCGTAACTTTACATTTTGATTACGTATCTTCATGGCTTCCAAAACATATTTTTAGTTTTATTGCTTAAATTTGAATTAAAACAATTTATGACTACAGTACGTATTTATGAGATATGTTTTGTCGGCAGTCAGTAAATTATGACAGAACATGTTTTACTGGAAGAAATCTCCAGTGACATAAAACACTCTGATGCCAGTATCTCTGCCAAAGCACTAACCGATTGAAGTTTGTGTCGCCCATATGCCACCTTTCCTTTCCTCTTCAGATGGCAGCCTCCTGCCGTCACCATATTCTGTAGCGTGACTAAGTCTGAGATGCTCATCAAGGTTAGTGCTATTGGCATAGCACCTCACAGTCTTCCTCCGTGATTTGCATAAAGCACTGGTCCTGGTTTATCAATTGGAAAAGTCTTTTAGCTCCTTTCAAAAAATACAGAGTATGGCCCCTAAAATGTTACCACCCAAATTTAACTGAACAAATCGGTAAGTTATTTAACCCCAGCTGACACAATAAGTAGCTTCTCACATTTGATTAACACCCATGTGGAAAGGCATCCTGTGGTCATGGAAAAGATGTTAATCTGTTTTAAGAAGGGTCAAATCATTGGGATGCTTGAGGCATAGAAAACATCTAGGAAGTTTGCAGGAACTACTAAAACTAGGTTGAGAACTATCCAATGCATTATTATGCATTATAATGGAAGGATAGTGAGGAACCATTGTCTTTGAGGAAAAAATGTGGCTGGAAAAAAAACAAAAACAAAAAAAAAAACCCCCGAATGACCGTGATCAGTGATCACTTAAACTTTTGGTGTCACCAAATCGAAGAGAAACAACAGTATTTACTAGTTTAATATTGAAAGTGAAAGCATTTTTCTGCACACAGTGTGAAGGGAATTCAAGTGTTTTGAACTGTAGCCATGAGAAAACCACTAATCAGTGAGGCTAATTGATTAGTTTGCAAGAGAGCATAAAGCCTGGACTCGAGCACATGAGATATTGTTTTCACACATGGATCGGCCACCACAGAATTCAAATCTGAAGCTCATTAAGATTCTTTATGATGTTCTGGAGAAGGCTTTGCTCAGTGGTTGGACTCTCCCATCATCAATGCAAGATCTTGGTGAAAAATTTATCTAACACTGGATGGAAATAAATCCTTTGACATTGCATAAGCTTATCGAAACAATGCCACAGCAGATAAGTGCTCTCATCAAAGTTAAAGGTGAGTGTGCAGCCTTTTTGTCTTTAGTAGCTACTTTTCTTTGGCCAGGCAGTGAACTTCAACTCTGGAATAAGGATCCTTTTTTGTCTTTTAGGGTAGAAGTCAGTCCATCTCTTATACAAAGTGTAAACCACACTTTAAAATAATTTCCAATAATAAGAGTAAGAGGCTTACTCACTGTTGCTGAAAAGTAAATTATGTATGTGGCTATTTAGTCCCAACAATACTTTCAGACACTCTCCCCTAAAAGCACCCAGAAAACAAAAGTAAAAGTAAAAAGTTTTTTGTAAAAACAAACAAAAAAAAACAAAAAAAAAAAAAAAAAAAAAAAAAAAAATTTAAAAATATAAATAAAAA